TTGTCATTTTATTGTTTATTATCATGTGTCTTTATTAATATGGGTTCTTTAACACCCTGAGTACCTTTTTTTTTCATTTTGTAACAAGCAGCTCCAGATTTTCAACTGAAAGTGATTTAATTGTGCAACAAATAACAAAACTGTCAAGTCTTGAACCTGCCAGAAATCTTTCCAGATTAACTCCAGCATGAGTGAAAGTGAAATTAAAATTGAAGGCTTTTATCGGCTCCTAACGAGAGAATGAGAAACTGCAGGGACACAGGTGTTGGTGATAATTAGATCACATTGGACCACTGAACATTTTAGATATTTGTTTTTAAGAATTTTACCTGAGATCCAAACATCCTGACTGTGTCTTACTAAACATTGGGGAAAATGGGAGTGAGATTTGTTTTGAGGCTCAGGTCTTGAATAAGTCGCCTGGCATTAACAAGCAGATGCAGAATATGTGTGGTAGTAATTTTATCTTCAAAGACACTTTAAAAGCGTTGAAGGCGTGTGAATGAGTTTGTGTTCTGTTGGAGACGTTGGAGGTTTCTTCGATGTCAGAAGTTCCCGATATCTCAGATTGTGAATTACAAGTTCTCTTTTACAAGAGAACAAACTCATGTGGAACAACAGGTATTTTCTATTAGGAAATCGTTGATCTTAGAGGCTTCAATATTTAAATTTTGTTTAGAGAATATGATAGTGATTAAGTTTGCTCCACTTCCCATTAAAACAAGGATTCAGCAGCTTTTCTTGCACTGTCTTCTTGAAGTTCACTAATAGGATCATTCAAGATGTTTAATTAACAGGATATTACCCCAATCAGCTGAAAAGAAAATACGCTATAGGGAAACCAAGAGGCAAAGAAACGATATTTGCCTGATCCACCTCCGCCTGAAGCAGCCAAAAAAATGAGCTTTAAAATCCTGAATTACATCTATTTATCCAATGACTTTGTGCATAAAAGGTTTATTTGGGATTAAAAACTCGCTCCTGAAAAGGAGGCTAAGATTGTAGAACATATTTTCTTTCAGTGTGAATCTGTGCAGGAATTATGGCTCCAATAATAATTTCTACTATAAAAGAGAAAAACTCAAATTTTCAGGTAAATAATTAGATTTTGTTCAGTAAACATTTTATTTTTACTTGTGAATATTTAAAGGTTAACAGACAGAAACACCATAAAACTTTTTTTTTTCTCCTTTACTGGACATGTTTATGCTTCTTAAAAAAGACCCTCACTCTCAGTTAATTACTCTGATTTTGTGCCTGTGTACAATGTACACTGAGCTACGCCTTAAAAGTTTGCACCTGAATTTAAGTTTCAAGTTTCCGTTTCCACCTCTGAGCCGGCAGCGTCCTCCTCCACGCTGTCTGTCTGTATCGAGCCGCCATCACTCCACCAGGAGGTGTCACGGTGGGATCCGGGCAGATTTTATCTATTATGGGAGGGCATGATTCATGGAGGCAGAGGCAGCTCAAGGAAAACCAATCCTGTGACACTTTCTCCCCTGCGCTGTACACAGGGCAGCGGCAGCTACAGAAGGACAAGGCAGCGGCAGCCGGTCGCCCCTGACAACCGTGATAAAATGGCCTTCCTTAACTAAACTCATAAAGCACAGGGCAATAAAACTCAATCTTCTGTAAAATCCAATTAAGTCATTATCTGACTGATTGTATCTTTAATTGAAAACAGAAGTGACAGTAAATTTCTGTGATATATCAGGATCAATCGATACTGCTGTACAATCTGGTCTCAAGAGGTGATTTATAATGTCAAAGCCTTATAGGTAACTCCACATTCTTCTCTCTAAAACCACTGGTGGATGAAATTAAGAGTAAGTGCGTTTCATAAAAAAACAAGATGGTCACGTTATTGATTACAACAGATGGGGCAGAATCCAATGAATGTTCCCACAGCGCAGCAGAAAGAAAATACAAGTAATTTTCTGAGTCGGTTTTATATTGTTGTTCCCAGCACGCCATCACATTTACACTCCATCACTTAGAGCATTTTTATTTCCCTAAAACTTGTAGCGACATAAACTCAGAGACTCCAAATTACTTTCTCTGCTGTCTTATTCAAACACAAACACAAATAAACACTTTCAAAGCATGCAGTTCAAAACGAATCTCCATAAAACACAAAACGCATAAAGAATATACAGTACAGCGGTGAGCTAGTCAGCGTCACAACAGCAGGAAGTTGGAAAGAAAAAATCTCGTCTGAGTTGTTTTTTAATTAACATTTAAACAGTACAATTGAAAAGTGGGCAACGCAGGATTTCTTTCATTAGTTCATGACGTAAAAAAAACAGAAGTGAGTTTGTGTTGGAGTTATTACTGTTTATATGCAAATGTTAACGCACGATATTTTATCTGTTAAAAGCACAACTGTAAAGTTTACAAGGGCTGCAACTGCAGCAGTCATTTTTGTTATGGATTAATCTGTTATTTCTCTGATTAATAATGGATTAATTATTTGGTCCGTAAAGCATCAGAAAACAATGAAAAGTGGCTCATCTTCAAACCAATCAACAGTTATTATTATATTAAATTTACCATTAAACTACTAATTCTAACATTTAAGAAGCTGAAAACAACAAATGTTTAGCTTGAAAATGCCTTAAATGATTATCAGAATTAGTTGCTGATTCCTTTTCTGGATCGATTTATCAATTAATCGGCTTATTGCTTGAGCTCTACACGTCACAAATTCAGCCCCTCAGCCTCTGCTGCGTCTCCATCTACCTGAGTGTGTGAAAGTTGTAAACAGTAACCCGTGTGCATAGAAGACCTCCCGCACTGAAGGGGTTAATTGTACAATAGACATGCAAATCCTGCGGAATAAATGACACCAGTGGATCAGTGCCATAAATAAGCAGCCGATGCTCATCACCCGCCAACACAGAACACAATGATTCATGTCTCACCTGCCTGGTGTGTTATTTTTTTTGTTGTTTTTTTACTCCCTGCTAACCCTCCAGTCGCACTCAGGATATTCTCAGTGTCTCTGACAGTGTGTTTTCTGCTTTAAACTTTAATTCACAGACAAAGGGGGGGGGGGGAAACTCAGTTGATTTTAACACAATGATCTGATGATCTGTTGTTCAGGGATAAATGACTGTTTTCAATGGTGCAGGTAAGAAGATGTCCACGTACTAATCTGAGCTAAATGTGTTTAAAAGTGGATGTTTTAAATGGAACTGGACAGATAAATCCTCCAGGTTTATAAACAGCCAACATTATTAGATTATTCCAGATTATTCCAGATGCTTTGAGGTAATTTGGAGAGGGTTATAATATAGTTTATGTAATGTCTGCAGTCTTCAACGGCATCTTAATGACAATATATCAAAAAGAAATAGGTGCTAACTACACACAGAAATATGTAACTTAAGGTCACAATTTTCAAGTGTGTCTTTAAACAAAGGTCAGGTGCCCGTATGAAGACTGAAGCAGGTTTTTTCCAGCTGTAATCGCTCCTCCTCTTCGTACTGGACATTAACAGATCCATTCGTCACATGTTTTCAGTGATGGGGGCCAAAATTCACAGTCACCACTTTTGTGCAAAATTACATTTCAAAGTTTATCTGAAGATAAAGAAGTCCGAAAGTTACGTCTTTACAGCACCAAGCTCTGTGTTTTTGTTACGGTGCTTCGACTGCAGCTCAACAGAGAAACACAAAGACAAGAGTGTAACTTCGGAAGATGTCCACTTCATTTGATTAACTCACATTTGATAAACTGAAGCTTCAGATTAAGTTCAGATTTTGTCCCTCATCACTTCCATTAAAAGTGCATTATGAACAGGACAGTATGAACAAGACGGATGATTACAGCCAGAAAAACCTCTTTCAGTGTCCATACGAACTGCTGAGTGTTGTTTTAAAACAAATAATCTGTTGATTACTTTTTTAGATGAATCGATTAATTGCTTTGTCTACACAAAGTGGAGAGTTCAAGGTGATATCTTCAAATGTCTTGATTAATCCGTCCAACAAAGATAATTTATTTTACAGTTATATGACAAAGAAACACAAATCGTCAGTTTTTTTTTCTTGAAAAATGTCTAAAATTATTAATCGAATATTAAAATAGTCAATAAATTTTTTTTGTCAATCAACTAATCCATTAATCGACTGATTGTTGCAGCTCAGACAAAAATGTAGTCCAATTTTAACCGAGATGTCTGGACGTCTTTTAACATGCGAAGCACCAGAAAGGTGGGGTCAACTTTTTTAGTCTTATTTCAAAAGCTCACAAACTCATAATAATAACAGTATGTAGTGCATTTCAACCAGGGGAAAATTACAAGAAATTAATGCACATACTGACTCCATTTGGCCAAATTTCACTTCTGACATTTTCTAAATAAGTGCTTGAGACGCGCAGTAACAGAGCTCCAGTTTGTCTAAAAAGCTATCTCAAAGTCGGAATTCTGATTGTCAAAAACAGTCCACTAATATCCAACTAAACTAAACTAAACTAAACTAAACTAAACAGATCTCTACTAACTCGCCGTTAATGTAAACACTTCATGACTGATACTGTGTGAAAACTGCACTAGTCAATTTACTGAAAGAAAGGACTTTAATATCATTATTCTGCAAAACTGTGTCATTTTATCTTCTAGTCACCGTTAACTTTCAGTAATTTGGCCCAACCTTGATTACTGACAATTAAGAGATTCATTTACTGTACATTTACTCAACTTTCAAAACAATGTTTCTCTGATATTTGCATGTTATTTATGAACTTGAAAATCTTCTTTTGTTTTTTGTTTCATTTTCTCTGCTGGTGAACTGGCTTCAGCAAAAGATTTAACAGCTGTGTTATAAATGAACTAAAAATCTCAATGACACTATGGATTATATGTTTTTTTATGTGCTTTTTGAACAGAAACAGAGAAGCCTGAAGCAACACTGAACTATGAAACTGTTTTTCAAGAACAAGTTGGTTTTTTTTTTCTCAACTGATCTCATAATGCTTTTGTCGTATCCTTAGCTTCTTTATTTGGTGGCGGCAGAGTCGGCGATGGAGTTGGAGAAGTTGGCCGTCTCGTCGCCGGCCTCAGGCTTGACGACAGAGTTAACCAGGGAGATGATGGACCCGCAGGTCATGGTGGAGTCGTGGGCGCCGCTGATGCTGCTGGGTGAGAAAGCTGCGGGGACGAGACAGAAAACATCGTCCTGATCAGAGGTGAACAGGTTCTTTCAGGTTCTGTTTTTTTCATTCTTCACACAGCTGCTTCAACCGAGTACAATAACGTGAAAGCCTCTGAAACTGTCTGATGTGCGCTTATCCACATTTGTACAATTCATCACGTCGTGCCCCTCACTATCGAAGAGGTAGCACAGGTTGTTCTTAAAACACGAGTGAACTACACTCGTTATCGTGCCTGAACACAGTCTATGTAGAGACTGACGGACGACTGAAGCTGCTGCTGCTGCTGCTTCGCGTATGTTTTGCTTTCGGGAAGGATGCCACGATTACATTTTCTTGCCACCGATACCAGTCATCAATGAGTGAGATCGGCCGATCCACGGTCAAAACCGATCATTTTTGGCATGCATTGCAGACGCCGTGCGTTACATCAGTCTCACACACTTAGTAAAAGTTCCACACGGCCGACATGTTTTGTGTTGGTGGTCTGTCACATGCCGGCGCAGTGAACAAGGTGGGAGGAGGGACTACACTACACAGCACACAGAGTATTAACCACAGGTGACGCATTAATTCCAATCTACCGATCACATATTTTTAATGAAAATTGGCTGATAATGATCAGCAGCCGATCAATCAGGACCTCCCTAGCATTCGCTACATAGCCGGTGCAAAAATGTACAAGGACATCACAATAAACAAGCCTCCAGTCTGCTCCTGTGTGCTATCTGACATCAACAATTTCCCATGAATCAAGACTCCACTCTTTATCTGGTTGTGCTTCTGTTCTAATGCTCATACAGCCCTTCAGTCTTGTGGTGAGCACTTGAATTTGAAGACAGAAAATGCAACAACTGGTGTTGAATTTTGACACTGATAGGACAGGTTGTATCAGGCACTAGTGTGGGCACTAGCACTGGTTGCATGGACTCACCAAACACATGTCTATCAGGAAGTGAATTACAGGATCAGAAGGGAAACCTGTTCACTGAACTGATCAGGTTTTAGCAGTGATGAGTGCTGGATTTATGTATTTGTAGAATTTAGCTGCTGGAGGAGACTAGTCCTCTGTGTGAGATCAACATCCTTACCTCATCCTTATCTCCACAAACTGGGCCTTTACTAAATGTGTTTGGTTAAAACACCTCTCCTTGGATAATGTTTGGACGAAGGATAATGGTAAAGTATATTTATGCCTTTGAAAAATAGATAAACCTCAAATCTTTCACAGGTCTGGAGCTACAAATCTTTTTCCTGGATACTCCTCAAAGTCATTAATATGATAAATTCATATTGCCTGGTGTAGGTAGACAGGACAGCAGCACACATAAAATAAAAATGTCTTTGCACTGTAAGGAGAGTAAATAAAACGGAGAAGAGAAATACTATAGTGAGACAGACAAAACAGCAGAGTCGTATCATCAGAACAAATGGTCCTCTGTGTTAGTGCTGTATTCACCTGATATAAATACGACTGTAGAGTAAAATGATTCTTAGCAAAGCTCGGGATTTATAGCAAATTGAATCAGTCAGCAAAGAGGGAACAACGAGAACACTAAAGAAAAGTATTAGACCTTTTACCGTTAACACGAGAGATCAGAGCACCCACCCATTTTAACACTCGTTCTACAGCTACAGCACACACAGTAATAACACTGAGGCTGGTTAACAACAATCCACTGTGTTTGTACACTCATTCACAATACTAACGTTTCACACTCACTCTCTTTTTGTTTTGGTGTTGTGATGAGGTAATTGGTCGATTGATTATTAATGGCTTATCTTTTAATTAAGGGGAAAAGCCACTGGCTCCAGATTCTTAAGTGAGAGGATTTGACTGGTCAAAAAAAAAAGCTGAAATTTATAATCCTTTAGCATTTTTGCTTGAAAAATGATAATTATTAAAATAATTGCCACAGTTTTGCTCTGGATTGATAATTGACGATTAATTTGTTAATCTTTTATCTTGTATTTTCCAGAGAGATTTTATAGGGTATACCGTAGATAAATCTATCACTTATTTCTCAGTTAAGTGATAATAAAAATAAACATTAGAGGGGTTTTGGTATCTCATTGCTTTTTAATTTGTGTTGAGGACTGGTTATTATTTGAAAATATTCTATACTATTGCCACTACAATACCTGCATGTCAGCACTGATAGCAAAACAATACATTTTGGTACTTTACTTTGAAAAATTTAAATTTGTCACATCTTTCTAGAAAACCATTGTTTAATTTAAAAAAGAAGCAAAACTTGTGAAATGTTAAATGTTGTCTAATGTAACATATAAGCAGCCATACAAGAACATTACCTAAATAAAATAGTCTGAAATTGTGATTTTAAATCAGAAGCTATCAAAGAATAAGTAAACAAGGATATGACTGACAGACTTTTGGCAACTGACAGTTTTCAATAGTTGAACTGAAGTTCAATATTCAGCCTTTAACCTGGAAAGAAATGCGGGATCATTAGTAGAGCAGAAAACAAGTGTTGATTTATCAATAAGTCAATCAGGAGAAATTTAATCAACAATTCAACAGTTAAAGTAACTTTTTAAGCAAAAATGGAAAAAATGAACTCATGTAAATTGTAATTTTGACATATCTTTGGATCAACTTGGGCTTTGAGAAATTGTGATTTTTCACTGTTTTCTGACATTTCACAGACCAAATTATTAATTTATTAATCAAGAAAATAATCTGCATGTTAATCAATGCTAAAATCAATAATTAACTGCAGCCCTAATCATGAGAGACATGATTATTCTTAAAAGGGGAGGTGACCACTGAAAGACATGTAGAAAATAACTCATGAAATCATTTTATATGGTGAGTTATCTCACAAAATATAATGATGTAAAAACAATCTGTCATTTTTGTTCCTTGTCTGATTATCATGAACTGTCACTTTGTCAATTTGACCCAGAATAACCTCCTGATCAGAGAGTAACATTACCATAAACAAGAGCTGATGTCCAGAGTTTCCCAGACTCCTCGGACCTGATTGTCCTCATCCAGGCCTCCCTCTCTCTCTCTCTCTCTCTCTCTCTCTCTCGTCCTCAGCAGCAGTGGGAGGAGAAATGTGGAGTAATTTTTCTCCTCATTAACTTCCTGATTGGTTTCGGACTCCAATTTTTGCCCGTCTGCAGTTTGTCACCAATTCCAAACTGGCAGTTCAATCGTTAATACTAATGTTTGTGTAGCTAAGTGCACCCAGCTTTTTTTTTTTTTTTTTTTCATCCCTCAGTGATCTACTTGTACGGCAATAACAGCATGTGAGTGGGGGAGAGCAGCTGTGAATTAGCCCGTTCACTGTTAATTCTCTGCCTGTTCATCAGCAGGAAATCTATGATGTAATTAAAGGCTGAAAGCAACTGGACGTGTTAGTTTCACTGGGGATGTTAAATCACGACACACTGTGGTACACATGTTGTCTGCTGCATCCGACTGTCCTCTGCTCTCCTGCTTAATCCAGATTAATGTCTGAAACAGCAGAAAGCCTTGTTCCCTATTAGCCATCAACAACCTGCTAATCACACTGAGGCTGCAACTAATTAAACAACTGACAAATTATTTTCATTGTCCGTAACATTTTCTATTTATCGATTCATCATTTGACCTAAAAAAGTAAGAAAACTATTTAAAAAAAGGGTGAATACTGAATCACTAGAGCTTCGTCGATCAACAGAAAACAAATTGCAACTACTTTTAAAACTGATTAAAAATTTCAGTAATTTTTGAAGCAGAAATAGTGAAATGATGACAAATATTCTCTGAGTCCAGACTCTCAAATGAGATGATTCGCTGCTTTTCTATTGTGAAGTATTGTTCACTAGACAATTTTTTGACATTTTATACATCACATTCGATTAACTGAATTAATTAGCAGATAATTGAAAACTACTATAAGTCCAATCAACAATTCAAAAATAATATAAAATATGAAATTAAGAAAATCCTCACATCTGAAAAGCTGGAACCACATGATGTTTAGCAGTTTTACACGGAAAATCAATAATGGATTGCTTAATTTTTGTTTGTTTGATAAACTGATTAATTATTAGACCAATTAGTCCAATCATTTCAACCCTAAATGTCATGAGCTGACTCCATTGTAGATACGCTTCGCTTCTGTATCATCCACTTTTGTACAACTTATTTACTTCTATCGTTTACACTGTTACTCTCCACAACTGTATGCAGGCGACTTAACACTGGTTTTAGTTATTTAGTTGGTTTAGCTGGTTTCACTTGTTTAATGCGTGACAAAGGCCTATAACTGACACTAGACTGCTTGTTTAACAAGATTTGTGCTGACACTGTGCATGAATCCTCCACTTCAATAGCAGTTGTTCCAATGACACTTAAAACCATAGTTAAGCAACACTTATTTTGGGAACTTAAGCTTCAGCATACAAGTCTCACACTGTATGAAGTTCTTGAGTTACTGGTTCGAAAGTTAACAAATTTTCGCTGCAACAAAACTTTGTTCAACTTCCATCTGACACTTCAAAAAACTTGTTATTTTTTCCACATTTTATTTCAGGTATGAGTTTTTCAGCTGTGACAGCACAGTGTTGCTGATGCTAAATGTTTAAGTGGGAGCTGTACTAACAGGGCTGTGTATAAACAAATATGTTGTAACGAGGCAGACTTTACCTGCTGTAGATGCTGAAAGAGAGTTTACTCTCCTGAATGAACTTTTGCCCTTTTCCCAGTCACTCAGCACTCTATATAAGATTTCCAAACTATTAAACAGTCTTTGTGTGGAATAACAAAAGGAAGCTTTTTTAACCTCCCACTTGTCCTGTTCAGAGAGAGAGAGAGGGAGGGAGTGAATGAAGGTGCAATCATTTCTGCTGCTGCCAAAGAGGGGAACAAAAGCCCAGATGTGAGAGGAGATGGTAATTCAGTCTGATCCACCGGGGATAAGCTCTCTCTGTGGGTTTCATACTCTACACTCATCCACCGTACACAAGGGTCATAGGGGTAGATAA